TAACCACGATGTTTTAAAAAATCAACAGTTTTCCGGTTTTTTTTGGTATAACTTCCGTAATAAAAAAGAGCGGCAAATTTTTCAAACAGATTCAAATTAAGTGCTTTAAAACACACATTTCGGGGGAAAAAAATTGAAAACAAGCTTGGCCCCTAAAACTAGATTTGTTCCCGCCGTTTTTCCGGCATCCGCGCAGCAGATCGTGAGTGTGACCACGCCCCCCATCGCGTACGATGTCAAGGCCTGTTTTCAAAACATCGAAGGGGGGTAAATCACTAGTCAATTTTTTGTACATCAGACTTCCAATTATGTGTACTTCCATGTACTTCCAAATACTTCCTAGTACTTCCAAGTACTTCCACATACTTTCTAGAACTTCCATTTATTTATAATTATTTTAATTTACCTAATTACATTTCTAAATACTTTCAACATGTTATACATAACATATTAAAATATTTTAATACAGTTTGATTTATTAGAAGATTAAGTAACTGTATGAAATATCTATAATTTTACATTAGATAATCCAAAAAAACTCTTTATAGATTTCATATATTTAATAAAAACGTTATGTACCTGATAGGGTAAAAAAGCTATAAAATATAAGTATACAAGTGCTACAATACTAAAAAATACATTAAAAGAATATTCAAGTAGTTAATTAAAATGTATCTTTATTAGGCTTGAACAAATAATTTTTTTTACTTGGTATTAGTATTATTGAAATGTAAGTTTTAAGTAAGTATAGACTTTACACCTTTATTAAAATGTTCTTTAAATATTAACATAGGTACTAGTGCTGTATAACAAAAAAAAAAAGTTGAATATAAATTTTAATTTTAGTTACCACTGAAATTAAAGTAAACAATACGTACCAATTTAAATAATAATAATAATTATAATTGATTATAAAATAAATGTTTTTTTTGCTTTTAAGTTGTTTTTTACAATATAAAATATAACAATTCATTACTTGTAACTATATTACTTAATACTACGTATAGAACAAGATATTGATTAACAATTAAATAATTTATAAAAAAAGAATAATACATCATAATTACTTATATGAAATCAAAATTATAAGTACAAATTTTATCAATTTATAATAAATTAAAAACATTGTAACTAACAATACTTTGTTACCTATAGATATCAATGTTCAGTATTGTCAAATTATATGATATATGTATTATGTAATCGATTGTGTCCGCGTCAGTATCATTATCGGCCTAACCGGTCTAGTGTACCGACGGGCTTTTGATTTTATTATATTCAGTCGGAAAAAGTATTTTAAATTGTAAAGGTGCCGACTCCGCACATGGAATAAAAAAGCTTTTTAATAAAATTCAAATTAAATATATTATTTCATAACGCAACAAAATCATTTATTTATTATTCATCATACAGTCCATTAATATAAAATTTTATAACCGGTGTAATTTTAACCCAAACCAACATTTGGTCCATCGACCCGGATTTGAACGAGTAATTGTAAAAAAAAAAAAGTGCGTTTTATTTTGTTGTTGTTTTTTAAGTATAGTATATCAGCGTATCGACATATCGTACCGAATCTAGCGTGTCGTCCGCAAATTCGGGAAAGTGTGTCTATAGTTAATTAACATCCCGTCGATTGACTTCGTTTATCACTAGAAAGTTTGTATGAGTAATACTGTTATTGCTATGCAGAAAGTCCAAAGTATAAGGTCAGCAAACCAGCCCACCATCAGACAAAAACCGAAACGCCAAGTGTCAAGGTAAGGGAGTCACATTTCATAATTTCTTTTAGTTCCTTTTCCTATTTCATATTGTAGTACCGTCACCCGATTAGGATGGGAGAACCCGATATAAATACATTAATTGTGCGACGCGGCCAAATAAAAGCTATAGTAACTCGGTTTCAAAATTATCTGAAATCACCCGATTGCGACACAAAACAAATACCACCACGTCAGCTCAAAATAGAAGAAGCTAGGCAAAACTTCGAGTTAGTGCAAACAGCGATTGAAGAATTAGAAAATAGTATTGACATAACAGATCATTCACAATATAAAATTGATTTTGAAAATTTATTTTTTGAGATGGTTGCGGAGGCCGAACAAAAAATTAGTTCTATATGGACAAACCAAAACGAAACATCATTCTGTAACTCGAATAACGGAGAGAGCATTAATTCGACATCTTTGATGATAAAATTGGCAGCGTTAAATATACCAGTATTTAATGGTAATTATAATACTACCGTTTAAAGATATTTTTACTGCATTAATTCACACAAATAGTAATTTAACATCAATTCAAAAATTCTTTTATTTACATTCTTCTCTTAACGGTGATGCAGCAAATTGCATAAAAAATTTTGAAACTACGGCTTTAAATTACGAACACGTCTGGAAAACGTTAACTGCGCGTTACAATAATGAAAAATTATTAATTCAATGTCATGTAAAAGATATTTGTGAGTTAAACGTAGTTAAAGATAATTCATCGGATAATTTGCGAATGTTTTCGGATTCACTGCGTACTCATATATCGGCACTCGAAGCGTTGAAGCAACGACCAACCGATTGGGGTCCGCTACTAATACACATAATATGTTCAAAATTAGACTCAAACACGCTCACTGAATGGGAGGTGAAATCGCCAAAAACCGTAATTCCAAAGATCGAAGTTCTAATGATATTTTTAAACGATCGTGCACGGATTCTAGAAGCAGTAGAATCGTCGAAAAATCTTATAAATAATATAAATACTATATCAACATCGGAAATTAAAGACAAAGTTAATCGAAAAAATAGTCACAATAAAACTCGCACAACTTCTATGGCGTTCACAACCACTGCCGAAGTAAGCTGTTTTATATGTAACTTAAAACATACTATTTACAAATGCCCCACGTTTTTGGCACTATCAATAAACGATCGTATTAAAAAGGTTAATGAAATTGAATTGTGTAAATTATGTTTACGTAAACATGATTCAAAAAAAAAGGTGTTTATCCCGAAATTGTTTCAAATGCGGAAAAACACATAATACATTACTACATATTGTCCAACATAAAATTAATAATAATGCGAGATCGACAACGGAAGAAAAATCAAATCCCTCTTCAACTCAAATCGACGTAAATTCCACGATAAGCGTGCATTCGCATGACAAAAACTACGAGCAGGTACTTTTATCGACAGCGATCGTACGAGCATTTGGTAAAAATAAAAGTTCGTCATTATGTCGTGCTTTATTAGATTCCGGTTCACAAAGTAATTTCATTACTGAAGAATTAGTGCAATGTTTAAAATTAAAAAGAACAAAAATTAATCATCAAATTAGTGGTATCGGAACAACGGTACAGCATGCCCATTCGTACGTTATCGCTCAAGTGAAATCAAAATTTAACGACTACAGTTTTACCTTAAAAATGTTAGTAGTGCCGAAGATTACGAACGATATACCGGCGAAACACATATATAATACAGGTCAAGTACCGCAGAATGTAAGTTTAGCTGACCCACTATTCTGGTCTCCACAGAAAGTTGATTTATTAATAGGCGCGACACATTTCTACGATTTAATGGGTGAACGTCGAATTAAACCTGCACCAAACGGTCCAATATTTCAAAAGACAAAGCTCGGATGGGTAGTATCGGGGCCTACACAAATGTACAATCATAAGGTTGAACCGTTAAGTAACAGTATATGTCACACTGCGTTGACACATACCGACTTGACATTAGAAAATATGTTACCACGATTTTGGCGTGTAGAAGAATTTGAAGGAGATAACACCAATACTATTGAAGAAAAGACATGCAAAAGTTTTTTTGACAAAACGGTGATAAGAGAACCAGATGGTCGATTTACCGTACATTTACCATTTTGTGAAAATTCATTACGCTTAGGCGAGTCTTACAATATCGCTAAGCGTCGTCTATTAAACCTGGAAAGTCGTTTTGCAAACAATGCAAGATTAAAAAATGAATATACACATTTTATGAATGAGTATATAAGTTTAGGACACATGGAGCGAGTACAAGACGACCCAATTAACGATAAAAAAGAAGCACATTATTTACCACATCATGCGGTTTTCAAAGAAGCAAGTACGTCGACTCGACTTCGTGTTGTTTTTGACGCTTCATGCAAGACTAGTAACGGTGTTAGTTTAAACGATACATTAATAAAAGGACCGGTTTTGCAAGACGATTTGATATATATACTCGCTCGTTTCCGAACACATAATTTCGTATTGTCCGCAGATATTACGAAAATGTACAGACAGTTTTGGGTAACAGAAGCTCATAGAATATTTCAACGAATATTGTGGCGCACAAATCCACAGGAAAATATTAAAATTTTTCAACTTAACACGGTTACTTACGGAACCGTTCCCGCGTCTTTTTTGGCTACTGGATGCTTACATAAACTAGCCGATTCGCAAAATGTCGACCCTATAATAGCAGCGGCTATAAAGTGCGCTTCTATATGGATTATTTCTTATGCGGTACTAATTCTTATGAATCAGCTGTTCAATTACGAGATGGTCTAATTAAGACAATGCAATCCGCTGGTTTAGAATTGCGAAAGTGGAATTCGAATAATGACAAGTTAATTAAAGATGTTATGTCAATAAAACAAGATAGTAACGACTAGGGCTGTGCAATTATTTTTATTAATCTATTATTTTAATCGATTATTTGATTAATCGATTATTTTTAATGAAGGATAAATAATCGAATAACCGATTAAACGATTATTTAATTAATATTCGAATATAATCGAATAATCGAATTAATCTAATATAATCGAATAATCGAATAACCAAGCATAACATTTCAAAACAAAAAAATAATTAGGTATAGGTATTTTAGTTAAATATAACAAATAATATATGTCTTCCTAATGGCATTGCTGCCGCCGAAGGTTATCTATTTTTATATAAAAAAAACAAATAATATTAAATAAAAATAAAACAATAATTATAAGTGTTGCATGTTTGCGCGGGTCTACCAAATTATACAATGACATTTTATATTTATAATCTAAATAAACTGATAATGATTATGGTTAATTATTAGATGCTATTTATATTTTATTATTCATTCGTAATATTCGTAATATTTCTTATTGAATTATTCTTGTTTACACGGAGTACGGACATCGGACGGTAAACACTAATTCGTAACTAGTTCGTCTCCATTCTCCATCAGCATTCAGCACATGTGGATTTTAATAATTATACCAAATAATATATTATACAGATTACAAAAATACAAAACAACGAAAGTAAGTACTTACTACCTACTAGTTATAGTAGTTACTAATGGCTAACTATATCTTATATATACATTGAGGAATTCATATAATTAAATATTTATTATTTATTTCATTAGTATTAAGTACCAACTACCAAGTATTCAATATGAGTGAGGTATGGCAAGTATTTAGTAAAGACGATGTTGGTCTTAAAGTGAAATGCTCAATATGTAAAAAGAAATATGCAAATCCAGGATCAAGTACAACGAACATGTGGAACCATTTAAAATTTAAACACAAGCTAAAAATGTATTGAACTTGATCGAATTCAAATGGGATTATCAGGAAGTGCATTTAATCAAGACATTTCCAATGTTTCCATAGACGAAGATGAGTAAGTAAACACTTATAAGCTCTAATATATATCATGATTCAATATAGTAAAATATTAGTTCAATATAAATTTGATTTAAAATACACACAAATTGTAATTATTTTTCACGAGTTTACGATTGCTAAGAATTTTGAACTTTACCTAAAATAGTAAGTCAAATTAAATTTTTATGAGCATTTGAATTACAATATCGATAGATCTCGCTAGAGAGCGTTCTGTGCTTTACGGCGGCCCGGTGTCGTAGCACAGAGTGAACAGAGAGATATATATACAGGAAAACGGACGATATTTTGATTTTTACATGCAACGTATATGGAGAACGGTCGAATTTACTAGTTTATCGCTTTCGCAATACCGCGTTGAGTTGTGACGATATGCGCATGCGTGAGTGCGTGACCTTGTTGCACGGCGGCGCGGCAGTGTGGCATACGCGCAACGCGCTTCCTACTCCTATTACTATTTCATTTGCTCGCTAGCCGCCGTGCTGCAGGTTGTCCGTCCGTTCGATTATTATTTATTACTATCCGTACGGCGTACATTATTACAATAACGTGATAAACGTACCGACGGTCGGCCGTATGTTAATCTTTCTCTGCTATCTCGCGGAGTCCGTATTTTATGCAAGTACTCCATAAACAACTAATATCAGTCAAGTCGTTGACGACAGACTAGTTGTGAATTGTGATCAATTCAGTGTCCGGTGTAGAAGAGTGAAGGGAGAGGTTGACCGTAATATTATTTATTTATCGCTTACGCGCACGCGTTGTCTGGAGCGTACTGCTCGGTAGTCGGTGCTCATTAGCGACGCTCGAGCCGTGAGAGCGCTGAGGGCAACACATGTTTGATCTCCAGTTTCCACTCGACTGTTATTCGAATATACAGTTTTATATTATTAGTATATATTAGTATTATTATTATTATTTACTTATTTCATAAATTTGAAATAAAACAATTTAGTATTACTCTTTTCAATAATATGGACTGGATTTATTCAAAAGAACAACTCGTAGATCAGATTCAAACTCAGAATATAGCTCTTCATGGAGATCATATAATGTTCTTCCAATATTTGCTTCAAAAAAATTTTAATTATGAATTTTTTTTGTTCTAATAATGAATTACAAGTTCCTGAAGCAATGGTGGTTAGTCCACCATGTCCATGTCTAACATGGTAGCACTTAATTCCAATCAGAAACATATTCAAATACTATTCAAACCTTTGAGTTACATAAATATAAGTGGAATGGGACATTGGGTTTGTAGCTATTATGACACGCAAAATATTTTCATATATGATTCGGCAACAATAAAAACTGGCCACATAAATTATGATAAAGTGTTGCATAAACTATTTCCTAGTTATTTTTTGAAAGGTGGTGTTGTTCAATATCCTAATATCCATTGTCAGACACCAGGCTCTGTTGACTGTGGAGTTTATGCTATTGCAAATGCAGTATCTCTACACTTTGGCCTAAATCCGGTACATATTATTTATGAGTCAATAGAAAAATTGAGAGAACACCTTGTAAAAATATTTTTAAGTGAGATAATCACACTTTTTCCATGCATTACTCGTACAGCATATGAGCAAACTAATGAACAGGTAAACAATAAGTCCAAATCGAAACAGACAAAATACTGGGATACAAATAAAGATCTTGTGAATCAAAAGAGAAGAGAAAAATATGCTAGGGACAAAGCGATAGACAATAATAAATCGAGGCAAGCTAGACATTGGGATAAAAATAAAGATCTTTTGAACGAAAAAAGAAGAGAGAAGTACGCGAAGGAAAAATCTGAACTTGAGGCTAGAAAATTGGAAAGTTTAACTTCAAATAATAATAGTGAACGATGTGATGCATTGTAATACATTTTTTCCTTTAAAGACTTGGTCAAAGGTGCCCTAAATTACGAGTTTTGCACAACTCGGCAACTATTACAACCCAATATGACAAACTTACAGTCATTAGATGAAACCAAACCCCATATTGAAATTATTCCTCTTACAAATGAAGGTCAGATTGAGCACTGGATATGCGTATATTACAATTTGCAGTCTATTATCATATATGATCAGATGACTCAGTCATCAACCTATGATAAGAGTATCGAAATTTTGAGGTATTTGTTTCCATACCATATAAATGCCAATAAATTAATTATTATTGAACACATGGAAAACAGCTCATCAGTCCCAACGTATCTTCATTGCATTGCAATTGCAACCAGTCTCTTTTGGAAATTTAGGCCCCAAAAAATAATATATGACCAAAAGTTAATGAAATCTCATTTGGAGACAATGATAAAATGTCAAACTTTAAAACATTTTCCATTTTTTTTCAAGCAGATTACTATTCCACCCAGTTATACTTATAATGATATAGATAACGACAGCTGGGTGGATAGTGATCATATAGAGTATTTCAATTATTTAGTTCGTGAATTCACATTTTATAACCCGCAAGATCCTGCGGTTACGGCTTGTTCACGAGCATATGAAAATATATTTGTACCACAGTCGGATACACACATTCAAATTTTGAATGGATCATTACACTGGATTTGTTATTACTACGATATTGATAATATATATGTTTACGATTCATTGCACGGCAAGGACTTGGATATTGAACAGAGAAAATTCATTAAATCTTTGCATCCATCCGTTTTTTCGGCCAACGATGATTTGTTTCCGACAGAAACTGAATGCGTTACTTTTCCTACTGTCCAGCACCAGGGGAATTATAATGATTGCGGTATATACTCTGTTGCATTCTTTATAAGTCGCATGTTTGGTTATGATCCTAAATTTATAAACTATAACAGAAAAAATCTTAGAGAAACTTTTATGAAGATTCTGCGCTGTAATAGCTTGGAACATTTTCCGTCGACCTACAAGGACGCAGAAAACACTATGCTTTTGGAGGGAAACCATTGCTATCCTATAAAATCAAAGCAAAACATACAAGTAGATCCAGCAGCTAGTAACAGAAATAAAGACATTTTTGATAAATTTTCAGATGAGGAACTTGCACATGAGGATGAGATCGTAGGCGATGATGATGATTATTTTGAATTTTTACTTGACAAAACGAAGAAACATAAAAAAACGATGGTTTATTATGATAAACAGGCGATGCTTTTGCAACAAGAAAAATATATTCAAGAAGTATGGGTGATATTGAATGATCGGTTTGATAATTGTAACGACCCAGTTGATAATAGGTTGGAAGCTGAATGGATAATCAAATGGGTGTTTGAGAATAAAAAGCAAAGCATCAATAAAATACAATATACCTTTAAGAAATGCAAGAAAATTGTTAGTGTTGCATTGCAAAGATATCAACTAACACACAAAACCAACATAATCTGCTATGTCGATGCCCTATGCGGAAAATCTATGCATACACACAACAGCCTACCATTTTTTAGTGAAATCGGTTTCGAAAAAGAAAAACTAGTCTCCAATCAACCACATCTCTGCAATCAAGACCAAAATATGATTTTTGACACCTATATAACAGAAAATGAAAATTTGTACGTTGAAAACAATCTAACAGACGATCCAAAAATCGATATTGACAAAAACATTAGAGGTAATTTAAATGAACAACAGGAAAACGATGTCCAGCAAAAAAAGATAAGTGTTTTACAAAAGAAATGGCAATGCAATAATTTATGTAATGATAAAAAATATGATCCTTTCATTGCTAATGATTTAGAAAATTTTTATCTATTGATTCGTGAGTGCACGTTTAAGCAATTGCCAGATTTTTTGGATGATTTTTTCAAATGTACTGCTGAAGTTCGCCACGTGGACAAGAATGGGCATCCGCGTGAATGCTATACAGGGCTTTTTAAATGCGGAGCAAGAATAATTCCTCTGTTCAAATTGGCAAGCCATTTTCCAGAGATTCGAAATTTGAAACGACAAATGTATGAGGTGAGGCGACTATACAATCATCTTACCAACATTGACTTGGCATTGAAACATACAAGCATAAAATTTCTGACAGATTTGGCTACAGACACGCGAGAAAAATCTCAGTCATATAGCACTAAGGCAACGTCCTCAAATGTAGACCAAAGCAAATTGGAAACTAACTTTAGGAAAACAATAAGAATATACAAGAAACGTTCAATGGATTTGCCTATATATCCATGCTGTTCTTGTGAAAAATTGTGTCATCAACGCGATGTGCTCGATCTTAATAACTATGAAGAAAAAATCAGGAATAAAATGTATTGGATAGAACTACTAAAATTTGTACCTGAAAACGAACGTAAGTGGGTTTGTATTTATTGTTACAAATACATCAAAGACAACAATATGCCACCAGTTTGTATTCTTAATAACATGTTCAGTGTTCCAATACCCATTGAAATAAGTTGTTTGAATCAGTATGAAAAGTTGTTGGTACAGAGAGCAAAATGTTTTCAGAAAATAACTTCCACAAAGACCGTCATGAATAAGAATTTACCTTTCAAAGGGCAAATGAAAATGGTTTGTGGCACATCTTATCACTTGCCGTTGCCACTTGAAGAGACTGTAAAGAAGTTATGTAAGGACACTGACGTTATTAATCAAAACCATGAACTGTACATAATTGTCAGGTCAATTCCTAATAGTTCAAAATATGTGTGGCAAAATTTGGTTGATGTCAACAAAGTATGGAAAGCTTTACTTTGGTACAAACAAAATAATCCCTTATATGCGGCCATAGAACTGCCGCAATCCGCCGACGGAATTGTAAATATTCTAGAACATTTGCCTCAAACGGAGTATCAAGACATGACTGAGGAATCAGAGAGTGCTAGTTCAGGAGTTACTGAACAGTCAGTAGAAGTATTGCCTAAAGGACCAGAAAATAATAATTTGACTTCTAAAAAAATAGATTTACAGGGTGGAGATCACAATGCAATTCTCACATGTGTATCTCCGTCGCACCCGATGTACGATCAATTCACGATTTATCCAATACAATCCAGCCGAACAAACGAAACTGCAACGAAATTGTACCAGCAAGTCAAGGTTCACGCAGATCCATTAGCGTGGTTTGAAAAAATAATAGATTTGCTCACT